CCCTGGGGGCGGGAGGCGGAGAGCGCCCTGGGCGGGCCATGCCCTGGGGAAGGGGCCCAGGACCCTTTTCGCCTGAAGAGGGAAACACAGCTGAGAACTGACCTCTTAGAGTCGCTGGGGAAGTGGGGGTGGGCGGTGAGAGGGGAACTGGAGGAAGAAAACTGGGAGACGCATCCTCCTCCTCCCTCTCCCCCTCCTCTCCCCCTCCCCCTCCTGCACTGAGTAGCACCTGCCCTTCGCACCTGCCCTGCAGACACCCACCGCACCGGGAGGCGCAGCCCAGGCTCACCTGCCCTGAGCTGTTGAAAGACGGAGCTGTAGCCCGGCCGCGTGGCTCAGTGGTCGGGCGTGGACCTATGAGCCTCCCAGGAGGTCACCGTTAGATTCCTGGCCAGGGTCGCGGGCTCGATCCCAGTGTGGGGCATGCAGTGCAGGAGGCAGCCGGTCCATGATTCTCTCTCATCATTGACGTCTCTCTCGCTCTCTCTCCCTTCCTATCTGAAATCAATACAAAAATGTACTTTTTAAAAAGGGGACTGCCCTGGAGGACGTATGCCAGGGAAACGGGCCACACGAGGGCAGGTGCTGTGTGACTGCAGTGTGGGAGGCCCTGGAGGAGGACCGTCACAGGGACAGAGAGGAGGGGGGCGGGGAGGGGCGTGTTCAATGGGGTCAGAGCTCCTGCAGCCCCCGAGGTGGGGTCTGTGCCCCTGCTCCTCCCAGGACGGGAGCTGCGTCTCCCCAGGAAGGAGCCTGGCTGAGGCTGTCGGAGCTGAAGATTGCCTCGTGTCTCTTACGCTTGGCGTTCCGCTCTTTCTCTACCGTTTCATCTCTTTTCCAGGAACGGAGCGCGCTGCTTCGGAAATGGTATGACCTGATGATGCAACACAAGGAGGACCTGGCCAGGATCATCACAGCCGAGAGCGTGAGTCCCGCGGGCGCTGCCCGGGAGCTGGCGGGGTGACCTCCATCGGGTGGCGGCACCAGGGGGTTCCCTGCCTGATGACCAGATGTCAGCGAATCTCAGTGCCAGGCAGAACCTGCTCCTCATTAAAGCCCGGCCCTGGTGTTCTGAGACAACGTGTGTGTGCGCGCGCGCGTGTGTATCTGTGTGTGCGTGTGTGTATCTGTGTGTGTGTTCGTGTGTGTGTGTGTATCTGTGTGTGTGTGCGTGTGTGTATCTGTGTGTGTGTATCTGTGTGTGTGTCTAGGGAGCTGGCGGGGCGACCTCCACCGGGGGGCGGCACCAGGGGGTTCCCTGCCTGATGGCCAGATGTCAGCGAATCTCAGTGCCATTAAAGCCCGGCCCTGGTGTTCTGAGACGTGTGTGTCTGTGTGTGTGTGTGTGTATCTGTGTGTGTGTGTGTGTGTTCTAACGTCCTCTTCAGGCGTGTGCGGGAGGGGGGTTTCGGGTGTAACTGTGTGAACACTGCTGCTCCCGTCCCGTCTGTCCCGTGCGACTGTTTTGGTTGGTTTTCCTGTTGCGTCTGTGCATTTAAAGATGTACCGCTGGCATCTCCGTAGCTGTCCTCAGCTCCTTGCACCCCGGCCACCACTTTGAGGCGAGGTGCGGAGGAGAAAAGAGGTCAGCAGGTGCGGTCTCTCCTCTAACGTGGGGACACACTGAAGGGCAGGTGATGGCTGCGGTCCGAGCGAACTCCGTCGCCGCTGGATCCTGCTTATTTCCCCCCGCCCCGCGGGGTTGGCGATGGGCCCCCCCACTCCGCTCCCAGCCTGGGGGAGGTCCGAGCACAGTCCTGCTGTTGTGACGGAAGGTGATGGGGTCCTTTTCTGCCCGGATTCAGGGGAAGCCGCTGAAGGAGGCGCAGGGGGAGGTTCTGTACTCCGCCCAGTTCCTGGAGTGGTTTTCGGAGGAAGCGCGCCGCATCTACGGGGACGTCATCAGCACCGCCTCCCGGGAGAAGCGGGCCCTGGTGCTCAAGCAGCCAGTCGGAGTGGCTGCCGTCATCACCCCGGTACGTGGGGGCATCGGCCGGGGTGTCAGTGCACACTGGGGCGGCGCCCCCCCAA